TGTGATAATGGTTACCGCGACATGAGCCTAACTCGCAACTTCTAGATGTAGCTGAGCTCAGTCATCAACAATCTTGCTTCTGCTTCAACAGAATTTTCCTGTGTCCTCTGATGTGACCGCGATCCGGTCTTACTTCTTCTGCCAACGGTATCTCTACTCACTCCACTCAACCAATAAAGACATAGCATACCGATTTTCCGTCGAAGTACAAATCAACCACCGACCCCCTCCAGCCGTCCTTACAACCTGGCTCACTCATGCCAGCCACAACCACTCACGCTGTCCACAACCCTACCGCTGGTACGTACCTAGTTCACTAAATTTAACTACACGTTATTCTTTCGGATTCTTTTAGCACCCGAAGTCGAATCTGGGCAGGGCGCACTTGTAGTGATCTAACTCCGTGTGCAATGTTCAAACTCTTGCGGCTGCTACCAATTGTGAACGCACGAGTGCCTGCCTACCCCAGGACTGTCTAATCAACCATCTCTGTGAGGCTGACTCGCACAATACCTCACTGCGACGACAGTCATGCTCATATATTTCGGTCCCCTCGCGTGTAGTTGTTCACTCGTCCGACCTTCAACTTCCTCCAAACTATTCTCCAGTAAATCTGTACAGAGTGCACTATTCCTTCCATCCGGTGTCCCACTTATTCTCTTCCCACACATAATAGCGCCTGAGTATCGCAGCAGCAAGGACTTCCTCTGTTACCTTAACCCTCTGCGATAGGCTCACGGGACAGACGTCCGAGTTTTCGTCCGTCACAGGCATTAGAAATGTCTGGTGAAAGTCTTTCTAAAAATCCAAAATTCACAGAAATTTGCCAACTGCCTCCATTTCAGATTTTTTGATGTGCAGAGGCCTTTGGTATTATAGGACTTCGAGAGATCTAAGTGTTCCTCTGGTTTTTTGATGGGTCCCTGCGTAAGTAGATGCCTGTCCTGGAAAGAAGCTAATTAAATAGGAAGATATTGACGGAGTTTTCAACTTAAAGGGCAGGTTGGCTCTCATTCTTCGTATGCACACCATCGTGACCTTGACAGGGAAGCTGTAAATGCACACGCCAGTCTAAAGGAACAATCACCTGAGAGTCACTGAGTCATGTCTGCGACGCACGCTTATAGCTCTAAAACCCACGCAACGCTGCTCTCTATAGCGAAGGCTATCCGCGTACCTTCTGATTCACCGACTTGAAAGACTACAGACCAACAGGAATTCCTTGAAGCTATCCTTTTGCAACATGGCGGAGAATGCTAAGCTTACAACGCACTCGTCAAAGCCTACTCGAAATGTTAAGTCTATGTCTGGAAGTGGCATGGCCCCGGTGTTCAGGCTGAAGTGTAATGGCGTGTCGAAGAAATATGATCATACCCGTCCTCCTATTCCAATGAGCGCGGCACCCTTGTTTATGTACAAAGCTCGTGATGAGGAAGAGGGCTCTGAGCGTCCACCTCCCAAGGCCGTCTAGTCTTACCACAGTCCATGTGGTGGTTTTAAATTTCCTGGCAGCTCTACATGAGCAGGCAGACCTACTTCTCTCCTGCTTAGGGTTCAGAAACTCAAACTACCTTCTCCTCCATCTCCCAAAATTGCAGCCTACTGTCGGAACTTTTATGCAACTGTTGCTTTCTCATACACCCTCCAAACTGTACAATTTTTCAGGCCGCTTAAAGTTAACTTTTGCTTATCAGTTATTAAACGAAAACTCTGCATTGGCTCAAGCAATTTAAAAAACGATAGGTGAGCCTGCTTACTATCTGATCACAGAAGATAATCGTTTACTCCAGTCATTCGTGTTCTTGTTGGTTCAAGTTTTTAATAATTGATTGAAACACGTTCCACGGAGGGGAACTAAATCAATCGATGTTTTTGAGAAGAAGTAGATATAATCGCTGGGATAAGACTTTTATTCGCCTGACCTTTTGAAATCCGTAGCGCATCTTTCATCAGAGACAATAGCAGAAAGGGGTAATTAATGCACAGGGAGTTGCAGAATATTTATAGGTTACAGTTATTATGCTAATGCACACTTATGACTATTAACGGCTCTCCCCTATTGAGGATAGTTGTCTGCTCGTGCGCTTATTGCTTGATGTCCGACCTGCTGACCTGCTGAACTTTCACCACACGTGGAGGTTACTTGAGTCATGGTTCACTGCCCCCAGACTATAAACAAGTGCAGCGACCTATCCGACCCGTATTTGGTACTGAGGCCCAGTTTGTCCAAGGCAATTTGTCACACAGGGAACGCACAGGCGAACGCATCATCTAATGTCTGCGCCAGGGAGCCAGATGGCCGAGCAATAATCGCACCAAACCCGGCACGGGTGATAAAAGTTCAGCAGGTCACGACCAGCACGTCGGCCATCAAGCAGTTAGCGCACATGTGGATAATTATTCTCGTTAGGGGGAGGGGGTACTGTTAACTGTCATAGGTGTGCAGTAGCATAGTGACTTTATACCATACATACCGCAACTTCCTGTGTATGAATTACTAGTTCCTGCTACTGTCGCGGAAGATAGATCTATCACAGAGGGTTAAACTAATAGGGTAAACTCTAGCGGCT